AATAAGACAATCAAAGATATGCATAACTCTTTCCAGCAGGAACTCCGAAACACACCTTGAACTTAGAACTCTCACTGGCAACCTGACAGTTAACGTACGGTTTTAATTAAATGGGTCTTTCTGTAGAGACGGACTGTAGGGTTTGTCGGCTGGTGAAAGAAACCCCAGAGTATATTCTATGAGCCTGTCTTTAATTAATTAATCGTAGATTGATCCACCTTGGAGAACGATTGCCTTCTCCATATAACATTTGGAACATGGCCTTATCCAAAGGGCTGAGCTTTAAAATAGCCTAAGGTTACAATTTTGATTTAGCATAATATATCTTCTTAGGTCGCAGCGCGGGTATTTTCGACGTAATAATATTAATATCGTCACTAGACACGAATAAAGAGCTCGGAAAAACTCTTTGGGAGTTCTGGGGAATACTGTTGCACTCGAAAATATAGTTGACCGCGGACATAAGTTTATGGGTCTTTCTTCGCTGTCAAAGAGGGTTAACGCGGCTTTATTTACCGTCACCTATGTTAAGAGTTTTTCTTCGCCCAAATTTTTTTTGCGCCTTTTTTTCGCCATCAAATTTTGAGGTCGCGTCTTTATTCGTATCTAGTGACGATATGTATGTGTAAAGAGACATATGTATGTACATATGGATAAGTTTGTACAGTAAAATGAATCGTTATACGCAGTTAATTTGTTTTTATTAATCTAGTTGTGTTTTAGTTTTACTAGTTTATGTTAACTATGTCTTTAAAAAATTTTACATTGAATACAAATATTAAAACCCAAAAAAATTTTTGGTAGGTTTTGGTTGGTTATGGTAGGAAATTTGGTTAGGAAAAAAAATTTGTCCGTGGCAACGCTGAAGCGGACATAATTTTCAAATGCAAACTGCTGTGCGTAAACGAAACGAAAAAGTAGCTGATTATTGCTTTCGTATTTGTGAGCTTGGGCGACGTTATATTTTGAGCAAAACAGCAATGGTTAATAGAACTGGAAAACTATCGACAGTCGTAGCCATCGATAGTTTCGATAGTCGATAGTCACAACCATCGATAGTATCGATACTATCGAAAATGTCGACACTATCGATAGTTCTATCGATAGTTTTGATTAAAAATTCCAAAAATTAAACATAACAACTTTTATTGAAAATGAGATCATAACTGCTAAAATATGTCCATATTTTTGTTAAGGAACAAAAGCTTTTCAACGATTTTTGGCTTCAAGAAGCATCTGCGCTCTGAAATTATTTGCCCTGCTTTGCTAAATGTCCTTTCCGACTCACAAGATGAAACAGGTACCGCCGTATTTTACTCTTACTGAAAAATGTATGTATGAGTGAAAACTATCGATAGTGCTTACAAAACTATCGATGTTTTCGATAGTCAAAAACCATCGATACTATCGATAGTGCCATCGATAGTTTTCCAGCTCTAATGGTTAAATACGCGAGATAGGGACTGCGCAATCGTGAATTACAAATGGCAATTGCCGCACAACGAATAAATACAATGAGGGAATTAAGAGAAACTTTAAAACAGTATGATAATAATGTGCCGATGAACTCGACGCGAAATATAACGAAGCTCGAAGTAAAAGAACAAGAATATAAGAATGTAAACAAAAGTGACAATTCTAATAAGAAAACTGAAACGAAAATTACTAAAACTCTGAAGTGCTACAATTGTGATGTATTGGGGCATCTATATATATGTGGAAGATCTGAACGTATTAAAAAAGACACGTGTATACTCTATGACGTCCGAAGGAAAAAAGGACCGAACAAAATTACATTTTATTAAAGCAAGCTTATTGTGGCAATTTACAAATAAAGAACAAAAGAAAATGTCAAAACGAAAAGTTAACATGGTTGCATTCAGGTATTAAAATAATATTAAGCATGAGCGGTGTTCACACATGTACAAGCGGTGTTCCCACAGTACCCCCTCCTAAAGAGTGGGTACGGCAATGTACGCTGGTTTCAAACGATCGATTGAAATTTTAACAGGAACTTCGTTGATGTTGACGACCAAATATTTCGCATACCACTGCAATACCTTGTAGGGGCCTTTGTATGGAGATGATAAAGATGGCTTGACTGACAGGTCTCGAACAAACACCTGCTCACACGTTTTAAGGTCGTTATGTACGAACGACGTTTGTCCAGTATGCCAGGCAGTGTCGACTGGGCGTAGGCTACGCATGGCGCCTCGTAGCTGTGCGATGGTTTCTGCTTCTGTGATTGAACGACTGCTGTCAACAAAGAACTCAGAAGGTAAACGTAGAGTGGTCCCATAAACTAACTCAGCTGCGCAGGCCCCTAAGTCGGCCTTGAAAGAACTACGCAGTCCCAGGAGAATAAGCGGCAGGAACGTTGTCCACTGATTGGCATCATGGCATAAAATCGCCGACTTCAAAGTACGGTGCCACCGCTCGACGATGCCATTCGTTTGCGGATGATACCCCGTTGTGCGGAGGTGCCTGATACCGAGACATTGCAAGAGCTGTTGGAAAAGGTTACTTTCGAATTGTCGCCCAAGGTCTGATGTTATGTCAACGGGAACACCAAAGCGCGATATCCAACCGTCTATGAGTGCTCTTGTGACTGTCTCTGCGGTGCTGTCCGGGATCGCGAAAGCATCAGACCAACGGGTGAAGCGATCGATGACAGTGAGACAGTAGCGGTTTCCGTTGGACAACGGAAACGGTCCGACTATGTCTATGTGGAGGTGCGAAAACCGTTGGCCTGGACACTCACGTCGTTGGAACAATGCTGAGTTGTGACGTACGGCTATTCCGTTGAATTCCTGGCCAGACGAATCGCTCGGTCATCAGCCTCGCAGTGACTCGCATACCTGGGTGTGAAATATCATGTGTCGCGCGAAGAATGCCTTGTCGGAATCGCCTTGTTACAAACGGGCGTATTCTCCCTGTTGAGCTATCGCAGTAAACACTCTTTGTACTGGAAGGAAGAATAAAACTAGTTAGTTTGAGTGAGTGACAAACCTGTCCACCTAGGTATTCTTTCATCTCGTTGTCGATGGCTTGATCATCAGCTAAGTCGTCGAAGTTGATCGGTTCTGATGTTATAGTTTGGATTCTGGACAGCAGGTCAGCTGCAACATTTTGTTCGCCTGGAACGTGGCGAATGTCTGTAGTGATCTGCACAATAAAATATAGTTGACGGGCTTGGCGGTCGGAAGTTTTTTCTAGTCGTTGACGAAATGCATAAATGAGGGGTGTGTGGTCAGTGTACACATGACAGTCACGGCCCTCAAGCAAGAAGCGAAAATGTCGGACAGATAGAACATTGCTGTCAATTCTCTGTCATAGGTACTGTATCGCTGTTCCGCTTTTGTGAAAAGTCGCTGAAAAAACCCTAGCGGTTGAAGTGCACCGCCAATAACCTGGTGCAGAGCCGCTCCTGCGGCATAGTCTGATGCGTCAATCCAAAGTGAAAGTGTAGCGTTTGGAAGAGGGTGAGCGATCAGCACACAGTTTGCGAGGTCTTCTTTGCAAGCCTCGAAGTGTTTGACGTTATCCGGCGGCCAGATCGGCGGCGTTTTGTCGTTCCGTTTGTTGCCCGAGATCATTTTGAAAAGTGGGTTCTGATGCTTGAGCGGATTTTTCAGAAAAGCTCTGTAAAAATTAATCATTGCGAGGAAGGCAACTTAAATGATCGGATAACTCCGACTCGGCTAGGAAGTGGCTTGATTCCCTCTTTCGTTATGGCATGGCCTAAGAAGTGCAGCTCCGAAACACCAAGAACCGATTTCGCCACGTTAATCGTTAGGTTATGCTCACGCAATCCCTGAAAAACCGATTTGAGGTGCGTGCGATGCTCCTCTGGCGAGCTGGATGCAACACAAATGTCATCCAGGTAGATGAAAACCTTCTCTTCACCTCGAAACACTTCCTTAATAATCCTTTGGAACGTCTGCGCTGCGTTGCGCAACCCAAAGTTCATGTGCGTAAATTCGTACAGCCCGAAAGGAGTCGTAATGGCTGTTTTGCAGACATCATCGGGATGAATTCGGATCTGGTGAAAGGCTCTCTGTAGATCAATTTTAGAAAAAATTGTCTTGCCTGCGAGAACGTGCGTGAAGTCGTGTAAAAAAGGCAGTGGGTACTTGTCGGGGACTGTTACCGCATTTAGTGCTCGGTAGTCACCACAAGGCCTCCATGAACCGTCACCTTTGTGCACCATGTGTAATGGGCTTGCCCAGTTGCTGCTGGATGGCCGGCATATTCCAGTCTCATCAAGAGATCGAATTCCGCGCGCGCTTTTCTGAGCTTTTCGGGCGATAGTCTTCTGGGTCGTGAAGAAACTGGTTGACCGGTTGTAATTATGCGATGGACGACAGTCGACTTTGATGCAGCTTCAAATGGCGCAGGACGAGTAATATCGCTGAATTCCTTAAGCAGGTTGGAAAAATCAAAGTTTTGGCTTATCGTTGAAACACGTGGCACGTCGATATGTGTTACTGAGCAAACCGTCTTTATTGTAGTCTTGCGGTCAATTAAGCACTTCATTTTAAGGTCCAGCAGAAGAGAATAGTAAGACAAGAAGTCAGCGCCAATGATCGCTTGTGATACGCCTGCAATCACGAAACTCCATATGAAGTCTCTACGCAAATTGAGGTTAAGTTTTAGCATGACTTCTCCGAATACCGGGATAGATGTCCCGTTAGCGGCAAACAATTGCATATCCGAGGGGGTTACTCGAGCCAATTTCGAACATTTTGGAACAATCGACTCATCAGCGCCAGAGTCAATTAAAAAAGTGGTATTAGTTGACGTGTCGAATATGCGTAAGCGACAATTCGAAGGCATCTCAGATCGTTTGCCAATCTCTGAAATGCTATTGGCGGAGCATCCCTATTGCGTGCCACTTGGTGATGGGGGCTGAAGATATTTGCAGGGCTGTCTACATTTCTTGGCGTTCTTCCCAAATTTTGCGTGGTACCAGCACAACTCGGAAGTATTGCTGCCCTGGCCGCGAGCAGGCGTTCTGGATCTGGAGCGTGAAACAGATTTTTCGCCACTCAAAGCTTTATCAAAACGCTGTTTGAGTGCCGCTATTTCGGCTCGTAGATCGCTGTCGTTAGCAGCTTTGGGTGTGCTCACCTCATTGACGCGCCCCTCTCGCAATTGCATCGATTCAGCTATGGAATCGGCAATTTTTAGTTTATCGGTGATTGGAACGCTGGTTGCTATGATCGCAGCTTGCGCGTATGGGGACAAGCGGTTGACCCATAGATCATGCAAAATACTTTCACTCAGGGCCGAGCCAGGAGCTCGCTTCATTTCGTTGAATAGATCACTAGGACGGCGGTCGCCCAGTGGCATTTCTCGTAGCACACGTTGAAGGCGGCGCTGCTGGCTCTCCGTGAAATTTTCAGTCAATTTCGAGCGGATATATTCGTATCGACCTGACATTGGGGCAGCATCAATAATGGAGCGCAACTCCATTAGCTTGATTTGAGGTATGCTGGCAGCCACAATGCTGAATTTCGCGGAGTCTGTCGAAATGCTTGAGGCTTCAAACCAGAAGTCCAGCGAATAGAAATAAGCCTCAATATTTTCTTCTGACATAACAGGAAGCGGAATTCTCGGAATGCTGGCACCTGCCATCGAAGCTTCTCCGTGATGAGATCCAGGCGTTACAGCCATGCTACCGTTGAGTGGCATGTCTCACTTACCGTCGGGGTCACCAATTGTGGAAGATCTGAAGGTATTAAAAAAGACACGTGTATGCTCTATGACGTCCGAAGGAAAAAAGGACCAAACAAAATTACATTTTATTAAAGCAAGCTTATTGTGGCAATTTACAAATAAAGAACAAAAGAAAATGTCAAAACGAAAAGTTAACATGGTTGCATTCAGGTATTAAAATAATATATATATATAGACTATAGTCTAGTCTAATGGGAATCGGAGAAGTGTTGTTTTTGTCAAATCTTGACTACTGAAAAATATTGGCGAAAAAGACAAAAAACACACTTTGCGAAGTATACTTCTTTATCCAGCAACAACACGAAAAGTCTGCTAATTTATCCGATTCCTTTTGATAGGTGCAACAACTCTAGAGAAAATAATCAAATTGCCGTAAGTAACTTCGAAAGCATTTTCAATATATATTTCCAGAAATCAAAAAGCGAATATGGGTCAATAATAATAATTGTACCTAAAATCCACTGACTGTACCTAATGTACCTTTAAGTCATCAAACGTCGGAAAAAGGTACAATTGTACCTACTTTTTCATCCCTGGTTCACACATGTACAAGCGGTGTTCCCACATATATAACACGCGAAGGCATTTTTTGTGCAGCATAAAAGATCTGTACCGTTCATTCGATTTTCAAAAGTGAGATGTTAAATTTAAGCGCTTGGTCTGTAGATGTGCAATAAGGCTTTACTTTTTCAAAAGGAGTTGCCACCTGTTAAATAATTAAACTCAAGTTATTTACTAATCAATGCCCTCAGATCCGCACCGTCCATTCAATTTTCAAAAGTGAGGTACCAAAGTAAAGGGCTTAGGGTGTGGATGT